ATGAAGCGTGGCTCCCATCCGCGTGCCTCCCGGTCTTATTCCTTTGGGTTTACACCGGATATGGGGTGTGGGGGTGGTGCAGCGCAAGCCACGCATGGTCCCTCTGTAGGCGCAGGCGTCCTGTGGCTGCCCCCGTGGAGGCCACAGTGACAGGCTAATCCGGACACGGATGCTGCCAACCCATATATATATATATATATATATATATATATATATATATATATATATGTCCGAAGAAAAGATTAACAATGGCCTTAGGGATGCCGTCATCGAGTAAACCGGCAATTCACTGTCCACTTAGTAGTGTTTCAAAAGGTTTGACACCATATTTTTACAACTCTAGGAGTAAAGAGGGTAGAGAAATGTTCCAAGGGGTCAGAACAACCTTTAGTGCTAGTCACCTGCTCATTTGTTCGCGGAACTTGGAAAATTATTTGCATATTTCTCTCACCATGCGAGATGGCATCGTCAGTGCGCTGAAATGCAGTATAATCGTGCCGCATATCATCGCACTGACAATGCCACCTTACATGGGGGCGAATGGTCTGCAAAGGAATTTCCAAGTTCGGCAAAGAAATGGGCAACTGGATTGTAAACCTGAGCTACCAGTGTTCCGAAAGCTTGGATTTCGTATTCCCTTTAAATATAAAAATGTTTTCAAGTCGCAGTTGGATATAAGTTGGCAGCTCCGATTATGCTATCGTCAAGCCATCCGCTAGTGTCTACAGTAAGACCCCACAAAGATGTCACTGGTTGCAATAACCGTAGACAGAATTGGAGACAATCGCTTTCTTCAAATACATAGTGACTGAGGGAAATGGTTGCATACACAGAGTTTAACCTATTTTACGATACAGATGCATCGACATATTGGGACCAAATTACAAGTTATCTGAACTTCGGCTATTATCTCTGTTGTCCGAAAGAACCCAATTTCATCCGTGCCAATATGCTATATTCACCACAGATCAATTCCCTAGGTAGACTTAAAGATATAGTGTTCAGAAAAAAAGATAGATCCTTAGTAAAGTCCTTTTTTGTACGTACTAAAATGTGCAGCGTTTTAATCATATATCGCTACAGACACTAATGGGAAACAATGGTTGCTTTGAGATTTAGCAGAAACAATTAAGCGGAATCACACGCCATGTCACAGAGTAGAAGAAAGAAGTAGCAACGTACACAGATGGAGTAGTGACTATCGGACACAGTTTCAGTGGTCTACGGACTCACTGTCTCCTGTCGACGTTGCATCATTGCAGAAGAAACAAACTGAGTTACACTCAGGTAAGGCGAGGAGACCTAACGGGTTGTCTCCCGACGTTCTCAATTAGTGTGCGTATTCCTTAGTTCTGCTTATCAATGTGTCTAAAGCCAAGAAAAATTGCGCATAGTTGGAAGATGTTAATATGACGCGGGGATCGAAGAAAGGGACAGCAAAAATACGGTCTACTGCATGAAGTTCGGTGGTCTTGAAGGTTTGAGAGATTTATTCTTGAAAATTAATGCTGGCCCAATCCGTTTTAGAGGACCCACAAAAGCTTGCACATAGAAGTTCTAGGTCCACACAAGACACAGTGGCCTACCCGCGTCATCACCGCTAGACAGTAAGAGTAGAGCAAGCCCAAGGCTGTGTTAATCGCGAATAACTGTTGCACGATCTACACGATTCTGGTATGCAACCCTCCCTAGCCTTCTTGTTAACGGATTATTTTTCAAAAGTACTCATGTCACCACTTAACAGAAATCCCGGTGTTCTTTAAAAAGCTATTCGATCACCGTTCTTATTCACACCATACAATAGCCCCGTCCCCGAAGTAACCATCTCAGTAAAATATCCTGATGGCGTACTTACAGGCGTGAACCCCGGCCCTCTCAACCGAGCTGTAAAGTTGTTTTAATGAACTAGCGCAATGGTCAGAACCTCGTTGTTTGATGCTGAAGGCATGTAAGTACAATGACATGGTGCGTTCACAGCATAAAGCAGCTCGTTACAAGCAATTTATCACGGGCTGTTCTTAACGTCACATCGGTGTGGAGAGCTTGAGCTCCTCCCTATCAGTAATCTTGTAGTTACACTGAGTCGCGATTTAGTGTAGTCACTAGTTTTGGGGGAAATACTCAACAAATTATAACGACTGTCGTCTTACATCTATCGATTGCGAGTAATCGTATAATACAATTTGATTCTGAAGTTCATCACTGTGTGCACTCCGCCGTACTGCACTTACTGCTCCCATGAGATTTTCGCAGTCATATTGTGTGAGCACTTCAAGCTGTTTCACAGGTCACTGAAGCACTAGTGTCACTGCAATGGCATTCCCGAGATAACTGAGTAGGACAATTGTATCCGTGTTAATTATTGCACAAAACTTGTCTAGAAATTACGTATCGATATCAGGATGTATATTTACTTCATCGATCAGATGAAAGAACACAGCAATACCGTATACTGCCAAATATAAACCAATGATTTTTGGACAATTTTTTATTTCTGTAGTTGGAAGTCGGATTATAAAAAGGTTATGCGCAATTTGGAAAACGTCACATGGAAAATCCACACAGGAATTAACTGTACACCGTTGCCTCTACCTCCCCTTAGCACCACCGACTAGTGACGGACGGTATTCCAAACGGGGGTTTTAAGTGCGCCATTTTTTCGTACGGTGTCCACGCAGCACTGCGGGTAGCGTGCCTATAACTATACACGTTATTTTGCAGGCGAAACTTTACGGCACATTGCACAGCTGACATTTGCGACGGATGAGAGTGACAGAAACATACGGGAATATACAGAACCAAACAGCATCACACTGAGTAACCTGGAAAGAACGGCAGAAAAGCACTTGCTGGTTGATTTTATGGGGGTTGGCTAATATCCAAACTTATGACTTGGGACAAATTTGAGATTGCAAAGTCATACGGTCGGTCTATCCATGGACGGAATTTATTCCGTAATATACGGTATATGCCTGCAAGCGATTCTACGGATCATCGATTATTCCCTATGTAGACAGGTTTTTGCTTGTTCCGAAAACTTTCATTCAACAGCTGACCAGTAAATATTATCAGTGAAGTTGCGGTATTCATTGAACTTGTTCGTTTGCTGCCATTTAACATCTATTGCACTGTGACTTTTTCCAATACTGATGGCATGTGTGTAACGGTTGATAATCCACCCTTCCTGGGTGCATTCTTGACTTCACTTGTCTAGAAATCAATATGCTCAGGTCGGTGAACACCGCCACCAGCAGTTAAAGTAATTTCAAAGATAATTCAGAGTTCGATGGATTCAACAGGGGCAGAAATTAACGATGAGTGGTTTGTCTGAAGAAGCGATAATGCAACAACACGCGAGCCTTGTAGCAAAAATGAGAGGCGCAGCAGCAGTCTGGCTGTGAGTGTCGATCGTAGACCACTAAACCATCTCGCAGTGTGATATGGGAAAGGCGATTCAACGTAGGTAAAGAGGAACGGCGGATTCCGACGATGTACGAGACAAAACAGAATGCTGGGGACCACAGGAGATCTTCAGTGACAATCCGGGAACACGAATGATGGAGTGGTGGTTGTAAATAACCCGAAAACAAGTATGTGAAGAATGTGGACAAAACAGTGTATTCTAGGGGCCTAGAATCACATAAGTGGTTCCAAAAAAGAACGAAAATTTGGCCCGGAAGATCCTGGATTAACCTATCACCACTTTTCGGTGCGATCCAAATCGACGCGCTCATGAACCCAGATATTGGCTTCAACCATAACATTGTACGCTTCACAAAATCAAACACCAAGGATTTGCTCCGCCTGTACTCAAGTCACAAGATAAGTGTGAACTTGTTCCTAAACAAATAATCAACTACCTGGAATTGGCATCTACAAAGTCCAGCGCACTCCCGCCAGTGTTTCGTGACCGAATCAACAAACCTCGCAGTGCAGAAAGTTTTTGTAATATTCGAACTAGTCTTGAAAAAAATCAGAAACAATAAGGGACCGACCAGTAGATAATATACACAGGGAAAGATGAACAAAAGTTACATGAGTGATCAATCTGGTCCATTTTGAACACGTTTTGAACACTTCTGCTAAGAGCAAACACTGGGAGAGTGGAAGAATGTATGCCTTGACCATCTTCACCACTTCTTCGTCTCTAGTAGGATTGCAGTTTAGCCGGGTCCGATAGTTATCATGCACTAGTGCAAGCACCGGCTTATCAGCGCATGAGAAAGCCTGATCATTCCTAACCGAATAAGTGTATTACGATTTATTCCACGCCGCTGATCAGTAAAATATATCACAGCGTCATGCAAAGTTTATTTAGAAGCTTATGATTTTTATTCATAATACCCAAACTATTTCATATAGGCTTCATCGATGGCAGCTGTCTTCTTCGCTTGAGTAACCCACTTCAACCACATCGATGTGCGATTTGTCCAAGGTTTGATACCGCGATCGGTGCCCATCAATTTGAGAATGAGTACAAAAACAATATTTGTAAACCGCAAAAGGAACAGTTGTACTTATAGTGAATCCAACCTGTACATCATGTTAGTTTCATAAATGCCGGGACCGTGACTTGCATTTTCCAGAAATAGAACATTGTGCTATATGTATGAGACGTAATGAGTGAAAATCAAATGGCGGGTACAGAAATAGGTAGTTCCACAAGAGCGTCATGAAAAGTGCAAGAGACTTTTGATTGAGTTAGCAGACGTGACCTATTGCTCAACACTGAGAGATAGGTCTGTATTCGAGCGAGTGGTTAGAATAAGCAGTGAACCGTAAGTCGACTGCCACGTGTACACACGGCAAGGATTGGTAAATACAGTGCTCAAACGAATCTCAGTAGTGTGCACGTGAACGAGAATCATGTTCATGGGTACAACACCAGTAATTGTGCTCAGAAGGAAATATTCACATACCGCTGACTAAGCAAAGAAAGACGATAAAAGGCAATCACAATTTGCGAAATTGAAGCTCACAGTGACAATGGAATGGCTTACGGTAGTGAATTTCGTGCACAAATCCATGACAATGGGCGCTATGCCACTGTCCTCTGACTGACTCTCTTGACACAACGCTTCATCCAATAGATCGACAATTAACTCAAACTGCTCCCACGACAATATGGCGCGCTGTTCATAGGAGCTTCGATCGGATCCATCTGATAACTCTTTGATGGCATCGTTTGGTGAAATTGGGACGATGGGGACGACGTAGCGTTGAAGTTCGTCGACAAACAGTCGCCGGATCGGTCTTGATTTGAGATCCTGTCGAATGGTGTTGCGCCTCTGCAGGAACGAAGGGTAATGGAGGCGGTTACAGTTGTCGTGAAAAGCCATAGATACTCACGGAATCTTCCGACAATGCCGTATAACCAAAATAGCTGACTTTAAGGAACCATTCTCAAACGTCGCAGGGGCATTCAAAAGAATCTGTTTGGAATTGTGGAAGAGTAGGCACCTCTGAGGCGAATAACTGCGAGGTCGGTATACACTGGTTAGACAAACGCGGTGTCCATGTTCTATCAGTTACGAACAGATGATGGAAAACGGGAAGTCTACAAGTTTAGAACTAAAAAACAGAAAAACAAAACCACCTGCGTGGACCAGCAACCAAAACAGACAGACGGGTGAGGGCAGAGCAACGTGTGAAATGCTGCCAGCAGATGTTGTGATGGTCGCAGATAAGACACCGCGGTTAGTGTTGGCGTGGGAGTTCAGATATCTGGTGATAGCAAAGATAAGAACAAGATGAAGGGCAAGCACGCGGCACATGCACGCTATGTCCCGATCGCACACAGGCGAACGAACGCTAGCGGGTGTCACAAAACAACTGACACATCGAAACAAGAACGGTACCGTGCAGTACAGTTCAGCCAGATACATGGTGCACCATTACGCATGGCTCGAGACCGACTAATGAGCCTTGCTAATGGTGACGAGGTGCCTGGTGATAACGAAGCAGCCGGTATACGTACATACATGGTAGCTAATTCACACGCGCACGGTCAGTGTCTCATTTGTGCGACTATGCAGGCAGTGGCCATTTAGGCGGCCACTGCAGTGGACTAAGTGCACCCTTCGAAGCAGTAGCAAGCGTCGAAAAGTAACAGACAGTTATGTCCAAGATAGAGGATGGATAATCAGATAAAGTGCGTAACTGGACAAATGTGCCCGAAGAATATCTTTGGTAGCATAAACGCAGCAGAAATCGTACCAAAAAGGAAGAAAGTGGAGTACTTTCTACTTCTGCCAAGGTAGAGTTGGCTGCGCTCTGTCATGGTAGCAGATTTATTGCTTGTTTCCATGTTTGCTTCCAAATAGTTCTGTGGCGAGGATTAGCGCATAAGAAAGTCACCCATTCTTCGGAGACGGTGAAAACACGTTCATTCTCAGGTTAAAGTTGACCAATCCGGCCCTACGATGAAATCAATGAAATTATAAGGTAAATATTATTACATCTGCAGCAAAATCACCCTGAGTGACTTTCATTGGTTTTTGTCTATGTTTAACAACATGTTCTGGTAGAGATGGCTAGTTAGCTCACGTCCCGTATCGTGTTAAGACTCTTGTAGCGACATTTCTTAGTGGTAGACCCGACGTCGTCGCGTAGTTACTTTCTTCCCGCATCCCTACATATCCAGCATGTGATAATTGTATGGGGGAATAGTTCTCATTAGTGTCGGAATGCTAATTAATCCCCTCTGTGGTTCAGTCATCTTTCGGTACGTTGTCATGCATGATCGATGCATCGAGTAGACCCGTAGGTAGACAACCACAATCACGTCGCGAAAATTATTGCCTTTTAGGAAAACTAAGTTGAACAAACATCCGGAGAACACACCTTAATCACTCATGTTTCATTCAGTATTACACAATATGGTCCATTGCATGTCGCTTGTATTCGTCGTCTACATTGTAGGTTATAGCATAAAAACGCTCAGAGAATATGGTGATTGTCAACGTTGCCACCGATATGAAGTGATTAAGATTGCTGCCATTTCGTGTGACACAGATTCGGAAACGTAGTGATCAAAGAGGAAGCCGCCTGTGCCAGAGGGTATGGGAGTATAGCAGGACGAGGCGCGCGTCTGTGCATAGATGCGTTTACAATGGTTCAACCACTGCGAACTACCTAATCGACTGCAAAATAAAAACAAACGGCTTTTCTCCCTTTAAAAAGGAAGTGTTATTTTCAAGTTAACCCTTCCCTCGTCTCAGAACGACTGGGAGGTAAACATGGAAACAAATACGACATATGCCAAGACGGATTGAGGTAGGATCATATCAAGAGAGAACTTCGGTCCGCGAGCAAACAGGTTGGGTCAATAGAAAATGCAAGATTGGTGAAGAATGAAGGCTAAGAAAAATCGACCGGAAACGAAAGTGTATTCCCAGCTGACAATACGGACATTTTTCGGTTGCTGTGTGAGAAAGGTTAAAGATGCATTCACTTTGACCGATAAACGCAGTGCAGAGAAGATAGATTGCTAAGTTATAATAGTTTTCACAGTGAAGTGAACGAGGTTTGAAGATGGGATCACGCGCCAACTCACCTTTTCGGCCATTCAAATCCACAGACATACAAGATCGTGAATACGGAAATTGCAATCGTAAACCGTAAGATAAACACATGTGACGGCAAATATTCACCTTGACCAGCAGACACCACAAAATAGGCAATCCAGACAGTGTGTGATTGAGGCTGACGTTTAACACTAGTGCTACGAAAGAGGCTATCCAATGCAATATGAGTTTGATCGGCCTGCATCGGCAAACCCCCATTCGTCGTGTAGATGAAGACCACTACTATGATGGTTATCGCTTAAAAAATCTGGTGCCCGGTTGAGTTGGGCACCGTGACCATTAGCAAATGACATGATGAGCAAAAAGGAAAGGATACACATGGAGAACGACACATAAACGGACACCGGACTCATTGACAACGCCCTTGATTCATCCAACTAACGACTAAACTATTCATCCGACTTGAATACGTTGTCTGCTTAGCATTAGATGTACCATCCACTAAAATTCGTGTCATAAGCACAGTAGGTCGGATCGAAGCATAAGGGATACTACGCACCTGATGATAAACATCAAGGGAAGAAAAACTAATGCAAAAGCCATAAGTGCGCATGACGCGTGTACTGCGTGGAGCTGACTGTGGCACTGAACACAAGTTGGCGCGGACCAAACTGCACATATATTTTCGTAAATCTATGTATTGCACTCCCGCCGTGAATCCGCGTACAGTTAACATTGTCTCCCTCGGTACTGTGGCGAAACGTATTGAGCTGGAGAAGGCGATGACTGCACGCCTGTGTAAGGTGGACTGCACAGCCACATTCGAGACCAGGTGACAGCTGCTGCCGAGGAGACCATCGGGCGCGCAAACTATAAGCGTCCTGATTGGTTTGATGAGAACAATGCGACGATTGGCGCATTGGTGTCGGAGAAGAATGCAGTATTTGCTGCACATGTTGCAGATCCCAGTGACGTGGGGAAGAAGAGTCAGTTTCGAAAACTTCGACGGCGACTGATCCGAGAGATCCGTCGCATTAAAAATGCATGGTGGACGGAGAAGGTGAGGCAGATGGAATGCTACGCCGAACGCCGCCAACACAAGGAATTCTTTGACTCCTTGAAGGCGGTGTATCGACCGAGACTTGAACCGCTGAGGATGCTGATCGACGGTAGTTCAGGCGCTACCCGCACACAGACTGTAGACATGATACAGATTTGGCTCAGAGATCTACTGGCCTACTTGAACGGCATGAAGCAGCACGATGTGTAGGCGAGTCTGGTGGACAAGTCAAGACTGGATGAGACGAAGAGAGCCCAATTCGGGCTCACCATCAACACAAGCAAAACTGTCTGTCTCTTTCAGCCTTCACCGGAGGTGCAATCTTCACTATTGCCGCAAATCAGCATTGGTGTTGAAGTATTGGAAACCACCTCTCGCTTCTGCTACCTTGGGAGTGTGATATCGACTGACCAGCAGCTTCACAGTGAGCTGCGTATCCGCGTCTAGAAGACATTGGCGGCATTCCCGAAGTTTGAGTACCGAGAGTGGAACAACCATCAGCTTACCATTGGCACGAAGCTGATGTTGTACAAATCCATGGTGCTGTCCGTTCTTCTATACGGCAGTGAAACGTGGACGATGTACCGGCGGGATGTGCGATATCTCGAGCGGTTCCATCAACAGTGTTTGCGACGAATTCTGCGCATCGGATGGGGCGACAGAGTTGCGTACACGGAAGAGTTGAGCCGAAGTGGAATGCATGCAGTGGACTCCATACTTTTGCTGAGACACCTGAGGTAGCTCGGTCATGTGAGCCGTAGGGATTCGACGCGGATATCGAAACAACTATTATTTGGTCAGCTGAGTATTGGGAAGCGGCATGTGGGGAAACCAAAGCTACGTTACCAGGACATGACCAAAGTGAGCCTCTCATATTCTAATATTGATTGCAGGTCATGGGAATCGAAGGCGGTTGATCGGCGTGCATGGCGTGATGTGATCACGAAAGCAGTTGCCGAAGTGCGGGAGAAAGTCCGCATACATACAGAGAAGAAGCGGCAAGTGCCGATGGGTTGTACTCCATCGACATCGAGCGCATGGTGCTGTAGTACATGCGGTCGCGAGTGTCTGAGTCAGGCAAGCCTAGTGAGCCATGAGCGAGGCCACTCGGGACCACTACCGAAGCGAAGACGGGTCCTGCAGAAAACGTAGACAGAACCGGCCCAGCGTTTGTAGGTACGCTGCATTCGATTTATTAACCGCGTGCTTACATGCCAAGTCTCTTTATTTCAGGTGGTGGGATTGCAATTTTGTCCTAATGCTTTTCTTTCTCATATTAATGTCTACCTAAACTATCTATAAACTTGCACAAGTCGCTGAAGCTACTTGTAGTTAAATTCGATAACATCTTCGTGTTGTGGCATTTGCTTAAAATATATTTCCTGACGTCTTGAACTTATCGCGGATTCGTTCGTAATCAATTTTTTATGCGCCCATTTTGTGAAGTGTTACGTCGCTGTATCTGCATGCACTATAGGATTTATTTTATTTCAGCCTGTCGTCCCAAGTATTTGGCCATTGCTTGATATCCCCGGGGTGGCTGCGCTTGATGTGCATGTTGACAAGGTGCCTACCTGTCTATTACCCACTACCTCATCCCTACTGGCTCCATGAGACAGTTGGTCGTTGCCGGATGGGACGAGGTGCACGGTACTTGTGGCCGTGTTAGGATCAAAGAGCGGTTCCATGCACCCAGTGTGGA